GAATGTCGTCCAAGTAAACAAGGACCCCCTTAAACAGGTGTTCCCTTAGAATGTCATTGATTAGTTGCATAAAGACTGCAGGGCCCCCTTGTAATCCAAATGGCAGGACTTTGAATTGATAGCACCCCATGGGGCAGTTAAATGCAGTCTTCCATTCGTCCCCTTCCTTGATTCTCACTCGATAGTAAGCTTCCCTTAAGTCTAGTTTAGAAAAAATTTTCCCTTTCGATAGGTGTGACAGCATGTCTTTCATGAGGGGCAGCGGGTATAGGTTGCTTTCACTGATTGTATTCAGGGCCCTATAATCCACGCATAAACGTAAAGAGCCATCCTTCTTCTCTCTAAAAAGGACCGGGGCAGCCACTTTAGGCTTGGCTGGCTCAATGAAACCTCTCTCCAGTTTTTTTTTTATAAATCTTTCCATTTCCTCCTTCTCCTTTGGGCTCATGGAGTATAATCTGGGCTTCGGGAGTTTTGCCCCAGGCTTGAATTCAATGGTACAGTCTGTGGGTCGGTGGGGGGGAAGCTCATTCGCCCTCTCCTCACTGAAGACTTCAGCAAGGTCCCTATATTCCTCTGGTATTTCTGTTAATCTTTTTTCCTCTCCTATGGATGCTTTTTCTATTCTTGATTCTGGTAGACTCCCTTGGGGTTTTAAGTCCATAGGGTCCCCCTTCGGGAATTTGATTTCTGTCGTCCTCCAATTTACCCAGGGGTTCCATTTTTTCAACCATTCCATCCCTAGAATCATTGGGCATTCCATACCTGGGGTCACCACAAACGTTAAGTCCTCTTCATGGTTGCCCAGGGAGAGATGTATTGGCAAAGTGGCTAGGGTAGCTGGCACCCCCCCTGCTATGGATCCATCTAGCTGGCCAAATGAGATTGGTTGTTCCAGTCTCCTGGATGGGATGCCCAGATTCCCCACTAGTGTTGGGCTAATGAGGCAGCGGGTACAGCCAGAGTCTATTAAGGCTTTCACCTTCACAGCTTCGGGCATGGGGGGATTAATATAGTCACTGTTTTGAAGATGGGTGTGATGCATCCACTTACCAGGGGTTCGCCCTCCGAGCTGTCATCTGAGGCATCCACCGGCCCTATGGTGTAGGCTGGAGTCCTTTCCCCTTGGTAAGCAGAGGTGGGGTTTTCTGCAATTTCCATCATTCTCATGGCCGTTTCTTTTGGCTTAGCTGAATACTTTCCGGGTTTGTTGATTTGGGATCTGTCTGGGTTGTGCTGGGGGGCCTTTGAGCGGCATTCTACAGCTCGATGCCCTTCTCTTCCGCACTTGAAACATCTCATTTGCTTCTTGGCTGTATCCGATGATTTCACCGGTTGGTGTGTCAGCTCAGGCGGGGGGCGGCTCCATTGTTTTCCTCGGCGGTGCCTCTTCAATATGTCGATCTCTGCTTCCTCTGCCAAGACGTACCATTCCTCAAGTCGATGTGGGTCCCCTCGGGGCAGGCAAGCATCATATAGATCATAGTTTAGTCCGTCTTTGAAATGGCCAAGGAGGATGTCTTCTGGCCAATTCAGTTTGCTGGCAATGGCCCGAAATTCTTGTGTATACTCAGCCACTGGGCTTTTGCCCTGCCTCATCGTTGTTATTCTTTCACGGGCTTTGCGATCAGCCAGGGGGTCTTCAAATCGTCTTCTCAAAGAGGACATGAAACGGTTGAAGTTACTGAGTTCTGGGGCATTGGAGTCATGCAAGTTCACTACCCAATCCGCAGCTGGTCCATCCAGGGCAGATTGCACGATCCGGATGCGGGCTTTGTCGCTGGGAATATCCTGCCCATATTCCTCCATGTAGCTGAGGACTTGGGTTAGAAAAAACCCCAAGCGTGTTGGCTCCCCTTTGAATTTCACTTCCAACGGTGGACGTCTTGGAATGGATCGGTGCCTCTGTTGTGGGTGGTAGTGCCTTCCGTCCAGATTGCCATCTGTGGTCCGGTAGGGGGTGGGAGCTCCTGGATCAGTAGATGTCCCTGGGGTTGCAGGTTCCACGTCCCCCTCGGTGTCTCTCCCTTTGCGGCTCCAGGAACTGGGGCAGCCGTAGGGTTCAGTATTCTCCTCTCCTAGGGAGCTGAGAGTTCTCTTCATCAGGTCAATAGCTTTCTCTAGGATCCAGTCTGAGTACGGTGCCCAGCTTCCTCCCTCTTCACTTGCGTGCAGGGATTTCTCCATCTCCTGCTTCCATTCTGGTTGCTTGGTCCCCCGTCTCAGGGTCACCTTTCTTGATTCCTTTCTCCACTCACTTTTCTTTCCAACGTTCATCGACCAGCGAGGCTTGTGGTCCTGTGTCTCCACCACTTCTTCTCCCGAGGAATCTGACCTCTCGGATCCCAACATCTGGCAAGGTTCCAACTGGGTCAGCGGCTCTCTTTCCAGGGAGTTTTCCCCCTCTCTTGCTCCATTGTCTGACATGGTAAATTTTTGCAAAATCCCCCGGCAAGGGTCTTCCTTCCAGGTGGATTAATTTTGCAAGTCCTGTCTAATGTGAGGACCCACCCCCCTTTGCATCTTAAGAAGACAGAACTCTTGGAATAATTCTTCCAACAGGAATCCTTTATTAAGAGAAAATGGTTGCAGGCATGCTAGACAGGACTTGGGGTCCAAGCTCTCCCATTCAAGGTTTTAAGGGGTTCCCCAGTAGTCCCACCCAATCAACCCCCCTTCCCAGTGATAGTTTCAAGTATAACAATTCCACCCCGTTTCTTCTTTCTTCCGTCTGGATGGAGACTTCAGATAACTACATGAAAGGCAAATACTCTTCTTTGTTAATGCTAATGTTCTCTGGATGCTAACGCTTTGAGGTTACAATAGGTTACAATAAACACACATTCAGCATTCATCTCTTTGAAGTCTACTGAAGGAAGTGAGGGCCATAAAGCCCCTTTGTTCTCCCCCTTCTCTCCCTCTTATGGCAGAATCCAAAGAAGGCAGAATTGGGAGTTTCTATATTTGATAATTAAAGATGAAATATGATTGGATTCTGACACCTGTTTTGTTTTCTTTACAGGTGGATCTCTCTTAGTTTTAAGGGGGACAGGATGTCAGAATCCAATTATATTTCATTTCTAGTTATCTACTCTGGAAAAAACCCATTTCTGTTCTCTCTGGATTCTGTCATACTACGAATGGGAAGGGGGATGAGCAGGCTCTCTCGCTTCCTTCATTAAACTTCAAAAGGAGTGGATGTTGATTCTCACCAAGAGGACTGACCATAACAATATGGCCTTCGCCTTTCATCTATTCGCTCTCTGAAGTCTCCCTTTTGCCGGCAGTAAGGGAAAAGGGGGGAGAACAAGGATCGTCGCCCAGAAGAACTGTGGGGGGGGGGATTGCTTGGGAACACTTAAAACATTGAAGGATGGGAGATAATTCCTCAGATCCTGTCTAGCACGCCTGCAATCATTTTCTCTTAATAAAGATGCCTGTTGGAAAAGATATTCCAAGAGTTCTGTCTTCTTAAGATGTAAAGTGAGGTGAGTCCTTACACTAATATGTTAAAGTCCTTTAATTTTTAACTGCTCTGCATCTAAGAGCATCTATGCAGCTCATTTACATTATTATTTCTGGAAAAGTCAAATTTTTGTATACCTTTTCAGGTATTAATGTTATATTAGCCTTGTTCCAGCTATCAAGAGTTTTTCCATAAAGATGATTTTGTTGTTTAACAACCAATTATCCTGATGCATGTTTGGGTCTTAACGTATCTTATTGTTATTTCTAGATTTTGTCTATCCTTCCTATATTATGACTTCCTGCAGTTTGTTTTTTATTCTTTTAAGGTGTCTGCTTTTTAATTTAATTTTAAAAATTTAATTTTCTTAATAATCAGAATATTTTGGACAAATTGATTTTCCCAATTTAACTTTTTTTTAACCTCTTTAAAAACTTAACCTTTTAAAAGACATTTTTGATTGAAAAAAACTGAAGCTCAACAGTTTCCCGTCACGACCCCTCCTCTGCTCCTGCCACCCAAGTCCTCTTCCTGTTTCACAACATGTGCTGCTTCCACACCAGCCTTCCTTTTTGCCCCTGGAATTAGTTGGGCTAAGGTTGGCCCAAAGAAGACTCCTACCCTGAGATATAAGGCAAGGCGGAAGGGCAAGAATCTGAATGGAAAAGCAAGTGTCAGAATCCAATTATATTTCATCTCTAGTTATCGACTATGGAAAACCCCATTTCTGCCCTCTCTGGATTCTGTCATACGATGAAGGGGAAGGAGGGTGCACAAAGGGGTTTTATGGCCCTCACTTCTTTTGGTACAACTTCAAAAGGGATTGAATGTGGACTAACCATAACAATGGGGCCATAAGCTTTCATCTGCCCCTCTCTGAAGTCTCCCTTCCGCCGGCAGTGAGGAAAAAGGGGGTGGAAATGTAATGCCTGGAAGAATGGTGGGGTGGGGTGGGGTGGGGTTGCTGGGAACCCCTTAAAACCCTGAACCATAGGGCTTGGCCTCCAAGTCCTGTTTAGAACGCCTGCAACCATTTTCTCTTAATAAAAGATGCCTGTTGGAAGAAATATTCCAAGAGTTCTGTCTTCTTAAGATACAAAGTGGGGTGGGTCCTTACAGCAGGTTTGTCTGCTGTGTTTTGAGGGTCTGGGCCATAAAATGCCTTTACCCTCAGGGAAAGCAGTACTGAAACATTCATAGCAGGTATATTATGGGTGGATTTTGGAAAAGGTTCAGATCGGCAAAAATATCCTGCCTGCCCATCAGTCAGAAGCTTTGGGGAGATCTTGAAGGATGTTTGGCTGACCTTCTCCTGGCTGGGACAGGTACAGGCACTAGAGAGGAAGATCCCAAAGAGGTAACAACAACCCATGTCATCTTGTCGAGGAACCTACCATGAAGTGCACATGTGAGCTGGACTGAAAAGAAAACTTACCTTTGATAAGATGCTTACGGAAAGTGCCAATATGAACTCTGAAGAAAGCTAAGTCTTGCTCTACTAGATTATGAAAATATAATCAGTAAAAAAAACATATTATCATGGGAAATATTTATTTTATTTAAAGCTAGATGCTAACAATTAATTTCTAAATTAAAAAATGGGATACAATCGTCCTTTTTATTATAATTTTGTCAGAAAGACCAACCGACCAAAAATGGGGAAAATCTGAAAGGGATACTAGTTAAACCAGGCTGTCTATAGAATCAATGAGTGAGGTGACCTTCAAGCTGGTTAAAAAAAAGCCTCCATCTTCGGGAGCCTGCTGGAAAAACACAGCTGGCCATCCTGAGCTAGGCCTGGTTAAGTGTCCAAAGGAGGAAATTCACCTTTCTCACCACTCAGCCTCAGGACTTTTCTTGAGGTGGGCATGGAGTCTGTTGAACTGTCCATGTTCCATTTCATTTAATTGTCCCCTCCTGGGTCCATGTTCAACAAATTCAGTAGATCCCCTTGACTCTCTTGTTCTCTGGATCAAAAGGCGATTTGGTGTGGACTTTGGCTGGAAAAGGAACTCCCATCCTCTCCAAAATATAGTTGCCACTTTTTATAAACTCGGGGGAGACCTGAGGGGGAAACAAAGCAAACCTGGCCTGTCACTCTTGCTTCTCTCCTACTTCTGTGAGAAAAGAGAAAGAATTCCTCCCCACCTTCCTTAAAAGGCATCTAGCTACTAAATTATTCCACCGAGAAAGCCATCCTGCAGGAACAATGGAGGAAAAAAAGCGCGGGGGGGGGGGGGAGGAATGATCCTACAGGCAAAATTCTGTCTCTTACAAACTCCGAATGTTTTGCGTCAAAGAAAACTGCTTAGAAAAAGAGCTGTGACAATGCGGATTGCAGATTGTATATTTCCTGTATGAGGCAGAAAGGTGAGACAGCCGAAACAAGGGTGGTCTACTTGGGGGGCTTCGTCTTCTTTGCCAGGAGACCCACGAGGGGGGCGCTGCTCTATCAATCACTCAGAGGATGGCCAGGAGCCCCAGGTTCTTCTGCTGGCTCCAAAGAGGCCCCAAAGTCTAAGCCATCTCCTCCCCCCAAAGTCTGCTTGGCTGTTCTCTCCTCTTCCCTTCTCGGAGTCTCCCTCCCAACAGCTCCCGTAAATATTCAGCAGCCTTCCTGAAGGCCCCCCCCCCCATCTCCTCATTGTTCCACGACTGCAATTAGCGCAAGTGGCAACCCACACACATAACTCCGCTGGGTGGACTTTGTGTTTCTGCTGGGCCCACTGGAGCTCCTGGGGGAGGCAGAAAAGCACCACGGTTGCTGTGTGTGGGGGGGAGCACTGCTTTCTGAACAAATGGCCCCAGCACGGGGCCACTTATGACAGCTTTAATTGGGGTTTAGCATCGCCTGAGCAGATACTTGAATAGGTCTTTGGGGGCAGGACCCCTCCTGGCAGATCATTGTCAGGGTGAGTTTTGTGGGGTATCAGAAATCGGAGGAGGGGGGAGTTGGGAGGAGGCTGCTCCTTGGAAACCAAACAGAGGAGGAGGCAGCTTCCAGATTAGCTGCCAGGGCATTCAGGACGTGGGCCTCACGAAGCGGCCTGAAATCCTATGGCAATCTTTCAACCGCACATCAACGAGCCCGTTACTGAACTTAAGGGATTTGGCCTCAACAGGGTGGGGTGGGGGCTTTTGAGGGATTGGCTCAACTGCAGGGGTCTCACTTTCAAAACAGCCAGTTGCAGACAGGGGCATTGCAAATTGCAAACGGGGTTGGCGGGGGGGGGGGCGGAGGCATCATGCCCAGATTCAGAGCTGGCTCTTTCCTGGGAAGGGGGCCCAGTGTCTTTTGAGGGGCTTCTAAGCATGCAGAGAGACCCTGGAGGGGCTTCAGCAAGGGCTAGGTATGCCCTTGCAGGAGTCTGAGGGGGGAGATAGAGCGCCCAGCTGATAAGGTTCCAGTCCAGGGAGGGTCTGAGGCCCCGCTACCATCTACATCTTACTGGCTCTCCTTTCAGATGGGACCAGGGAGAGCGATGGACATCCAAAGAGCCACATGGGCTTAGGTTAAAACACCCACCACAGCAGGGCAAACCCATACCTAAAACTGGGATTACCCAAAAAGCAGAATGCAGGCGAAGGGGCAGCCTGGGGATCAGGTCTGCTTTGCACAGACAGACCAGCTGCTGCTGTCCCTCAGAGGGTCAAGGATGGGCACACAGAAGCAGGACATTGCTGTCCACACACGTGCCAAACTGGATTGAGACCAGTGTCATCCCCTGGACAGAGCCCAGTCCGAGCTCTCTGGGAGAACCTCTGGATTCTTGCTGGGGGGTGTTTGGACTCTGCCAATGGCAGCATTACCTGTTGCCTTATCTAGGCAAAGGAAGTGCAAAAGGTCCAACCCTCTTTTCCTCAGCAGCTCATCTTTGCCAATCCAGATCAAGAAAGGAGCCATCCGCAGGACTGCACCTACAGCAGCCTTGGGGGTGGCCCCTGCGCAACGCCCCCCAGAACCAAGTGAGGGTTGTGCTACTCACCAGCCCTCCATCGGGATCTCGGATGTAGCCGTAGGCAATCGTTTTGTTGATGGTGTGTCCAAAGTCCGCCCTTCGGATGTGCCCCACAACCCGGCCATTGCGCCAAATGGCCTCCAGGCCAAAGAGGGGGACTTTCCTGCAACACAGAGGGAGCTGCATCACATCATGGACCACATCACTGCAAATGCTGGAACTGGTCAGACTGGGAAGCCAGTCTGAATTTAGCATAGACTGTCCCAGTCTTACTGGCCCCTTTGGGCGACAGCAATGCCCAATGAAGCTAGGGCAGCCCCGCGGAAAGGAGTCTCCACTGGTGTTTCAGACGAAGTGAGGCCTTTCCCCATGGGCCGAAGGGCCACAGTCTTGCTTCGGTTTCAGCCTATGGGTTTTCCTGCCTTTGGCTTCAACTGAGAACGAGGCAGGTAAGAGTCTCTTAGATACTTACAGACTGCTTTCTGTAAGCAGTTCTGTTCTGCAAGATAAAAAGTCCAGTTTCTTGAACTGTTTTTCAAGAAACCGATTAATATTCTGGTACAGTATTCTCAACTGAATGAATGACCTGGCCCCAAAGTGATAGCTGCCGCGCAACTCCTGTTGTCACACAGTCAGCATTTGTTAGTGCTTCAACTCCCCTCGCACCCTGCGCTCTACCACCCAGTTGACTTTCCCCTTCTTCGTGCTCCCACTGCTGACCAGCATGCTGGGCCAGGCTGGGAAAACAAAGACCCCAAAGTCTGTTTCTTTGGCATGACGAAGCCAAGCCCAGCAGCCAGGCCGGGCACGCCTGGTCAGCAGCAGGAGCAAGGCGGCAGCCAAAGTCAGCTAGGGTGCAAAGCCCGGGGTGGAGTGCAGAGTGACGAAGGCAACCACGGCTGGGACTGGGCTGGGGCCTCTTCGTGGTGGGGCAAGCAACCCAGAGTCATGCTGTTCAAGGCAGGTGCAGGCGGCCCAAAGGCCAGCCCTTTACTGAGGCTCAGGATGGGGAGGGACCAGCCCAGAGGGGCTCAGCTTCGGGTGGGTCCTTGGCTAATTTGCTTCACGATGGCAATGGGGAGTGCCAGGATTGCCATCGCTCAGCGATGCAGTCATGTGACGCCTGGCTTTGCAATCGCATTGCTCAGCAGCAGAAATTCCACTCCCAATTGTAAGTCAAGGACTTACCTGCAGCTCCACTCTGAGTCCACTCAAGTTTCTCTGGGACTTTTAAAAGTCTATTCCCAGAACACGACACCAATTCCAGATGGCATCTAACCAGAGCAGAGCGCAAGGGAAACATTGCCACACAAAACTGGTTGCCATTTTAGCCGCTGCAGCCAATGCTTGCTCATGACCTAGAACCACATGACCTGATCCAATTCTTCTAATTTTCAGGATAATTTTAACCTTATTTGAACCTGAACATCTTCAGGACAGATGGGATAGACTTGCCTATTGTCAGGGTGGGACTAGAAGACCTCCAAGGTGCTTCCAACCCCAGGATTCTAGAAGGGGGTGTGAATCATACTGCAGAGTCAGCAGCGAACATTATTTATTTATTTATTTATTTATTTGTTTATTTATTTATTTATGAGACTTATATACCGCTTTAAGTGCAAGCACTCTCCAAGCGGTGTACACCAGTAAGCAATGTATATATATTTACATTGCCCCCCACCATTTGGGTCCTCATTTTACCTACCCCGGAAGGATGGAAGGCTGAGTCAACCTTGAGCCGGTGAGATTTGAACCGCTGACCTGCTGAACACAGTCAGCTAAAGTGGCCTGCAGTACTGCACTCTAACTGCTGCACCACCTTGGCTCATTATCAGATAAATGCTACAGCTCAGCAAACTTTAAATAAAATCCATTATGAAAGATCAGGGACCTCTGAGTGTCAAGTTTTGAAATCCTCCAGAGAGGGGCTCTTCTCTCCCTGGACAGACTGGGGGGGGCGGCCATGCCTGCCACCAGCTACTCACGCATCGATGGTGAAGCAGGCCAGGCGGCGGAAGAGACCGGCTTTTCTTTGGGCCTCAACTGCCTCCCGTCCCAGGAAAGCCACGTCCGACTTCAGCTTGCAGGTGAAGGCCAGGCCAGCTTCCAGGGGGCTGTCATCCGAGCGGAGATCTGCATGCCAGTGCCGATAACCTGGGGCCCAAGAGAGGCTCCGTTCTGAGAGGGACCCAAAATACCCACTGCCCACCTGGGGAGTCCCGAGGCAAATATCAGGATTCATCGGGGTACTTTTGGGGACAGCTCAAAGGAAGCAAATCGAGGGCGGTCACTACTCAGGAGTCCCCACCCAGGCCCCTGGGCAAAGAGGACGTTTGGCCCCAAACTCAACCAAAACGTCTAGGCCTCCTCCCCAGCCCCCTTGACTTGGCTAAAAGAGCAGCAGGCAGAAAGGAGCCAAAGAAGGAGGGGGCCCTTGCAAATGGAGCTGGGGGCTCTGAAGTCTTGACTCCCCTCCCCACCTGTTCACAGAAAATAATACTATTTGCTGAAAGCCTTTGGCAGTTGGAAGGAAGGAAGGAAGGAAGGAAGGAAGGAAGGAAGGAAGGAAGGAAGGAAGGAAGGAAGGAAGGAAGGAAGGAAGGTCTACAATTAGGCCGCGAAGTGAAAGGAGGCCAGACAGCTTGCCTGAAGTGTCTCCCTTGTTCTCTCCTCTATTAATGGAACAAAACCATGACAACAAATTAAATCAGCAATGTGGGCAGTTTTTTCTGATCCTTTTTCTTGCACTGCTAATTGCTAGCCTAATTGCAGATTGCTGGGATTTGGAATGGATTTATTAAAACAGCTTAGTGGACCCGAAGGAAGCAGAACTCAGACCTGTGAGGAAATGTACAGGCAGGAGAGAGAAATGCAAGCAGAACTTTAATACTGTTTAAAAATTAAAATATCTGAAACGTTAAAAGGTTTGATCTGCCCGCTCTCCATAAAGAGACTTTCCCCTGCTTCCGCCTATCCTGGCCTGCTGGCACCTTTTTTCTGCCAGACCGAGGCTGCCTTCATGCACAGCCTCTGACCGGCCCAAAGCCACAAACTAACTTGCGGATCTTGCTGGGGCCGCTTTTTGTGTACCCTCAAGGCTAGAAGAGGAGCAAGGCTACCGAAGCAAGCAGCTGGGCAGGGGCCCATCTTCCTCACTCGGGTTCCCTCACTGGACCTAAAAAGGCTGCATGACTGCTGGGAGAGCATGTGGGGTGGGGCGGGTGGGGTTCCTGGACAGCAATGGGGAAGGCAAACAGTCTGGACCCCTCTGAGAGCCTGGGCCCCACAGCTCTTGGCATGCCCAGGGACCCTCACGGGGGGGCAATCCTGACGTTTTCCCCCAAACCTTTCTCGATGCTGAGGGAGTCGATGGCCCTGTATCCGGCGTTTGCAATGCCGTGCTTGGCCCCGGCTTCCATGACAGCCCGGTAGACTTTCAGGCAATGCTCCCGGGGTACGTGTAGCTCCCAGCCCATCTCGCCCACGAAGGACAGCCTCATGGCCCGCACCTGCCAACGGACGGGGAAGAGGCGGTCAGGGGAGGGCAGCAGGCGGAGCCTCGGGCAAGCTGCCTCCTGCCCTTCCCCCCCCCCCCCCAGTCACCCCTTCAGGAAACCTGTTTTATCCAAAGCAAAGAAACTCCATTCTTCGCCTTTCCCCCTTTTTTTTTTTTAAAAAAATAGTTTAATAAAAACAAAATATGAATATTGACAAGGGTCACCCAATCCATATTTAGCATTTTTCCAAGCTGGTGCCCTCTAGCTATGTTAAAACTACAACTCCTCAACCAGCAAAGTATGGAAGTGATTGTTCTGCACATCTGGAAGGTGGGATTGGGAAGTCCTTTCCCCCTTTCTTCCAAGCGAGCCCCCTCCTCACTTGCAGAGAGCTGCTCAGCTCTGCTCAGAATGGCTCCCCTCGGCCGGCGTCTTGGGCAAAGTGTTTGGTGTCTTAGTCCAGGCTTGCTAGCTGGCGGGGGGGGGGGGCAAAGAGGGGAAACCTTAGGCCAACTGTCCCCAGAGGGTGGGTTCTGTCTGCTCTGCTCTCTGACAGGACTGGGGCTTCTCCAGGCGAATTTGGAGGGGAGGGGGAGCAGCGGGGGGGGGGGCTCGGAAGGGCCTTCTGGGAGCTGCCCCAGCCATGGCCTGGCCTTGCTCTGGGCTGTTCCGGCCTCATCCTTTTTCCCTGGGGAGGGCTGAATGCAGCTTCTTGCACAAAGCATTCAGCACCCCCAGCTCTCTTGTCAATGCTGCTGGGAGGGTGACAGCCGCCACGCCTGCCTCCATTGTCAGAAGCCCAAAATAAACCCTAAACACCTGTCCTCCCTCCTTCGAGGAACAACTCTGGAGAACCAAGCTGGGATGGGAGGAAGCCTCTTAGCCACTCTCAGCCACAGCCATTTCAGGCCATTCTCTCCCCCCACAAACACACCACATTCCCTGTTATAAATCAGCAAAGATACTGCATGGGAGGGGAGGCTTTGGAGAGACCCTGGGATACCCCGAGCTCAGCCTCCAGGCCTCTGTACAGCTTCAGAGAAACCCCTCACCCCTAATGCCCAACCCAGTGCCCACAAGGTGGCAGAGCACTCTGAGAAGTGACCCAACGAGAGAAGACCCCTCACCCTGGCTGGGCCAGTCCTGGCTTGGCCAAACCAAATTCCATTCTCCAACACAGTCCCAACACCCCAGACTGAAGGGAGGCAACTGGGCTCTTTTTGCCTTTGGCCTCATTGCCCAGTTCAGCTGTAGGAGACGGACGGGACTCTGTTTTAAACAGACACCCCCCCCCCATCCATCCATTCCCTGAAAACCCAGACCCTCCCCACCCACCCACCCCCGGCAGAAATAAAAGAGGCAGAGGCTCACTTTCCAGAGCCTTGGGTGGGGGAGGGGAATCATTTGCCTTCCAGAGCACTGGCAGAGAAGGGGCGGCATGAACGTCGCCCACCCAGGAAAGAAATCTTTAAAAAGCTCCAGCCGAGGGCTTCTCTCTTCTGCAGACTCCTGGGACGGCTCAACTTCCTGCCACTGTGCCCACCCACCCATCCCCCTGGCAATTCTCAGGGGGTCTTCTCTCCCACCAGGCATCAGCTGCTGTGGGTCAGTCGTTGGTCTCCCAGAAGCTCCAGCATCCCAGAAGGACTGGCCCCCAGCATCCCCACTCCTGATTGGGCCCCTCTGCTGATGCTCGGAAGCCAACAGAAGGCAGGCAGGGTTGCCCAACCGTGTGTGACCTGTTTGGCAGGCTCAAAAATAAGCCCCCCCCCGTTCCATTAGATACTTGGGAGATTATTTGGGTGAGGAATGTTAAATTTACACAAGCCCAAAATTTAAGGGAGAATTTTTATAAAATGTTTTATAGATGGCACCTTGATCCACAAAAAATGTCTCGTATGTATTCTGACTTGCAGCCTAAATGTTGGAGATGTGGATGTTTGGATGCTACTTATTATCATATCTGGTGGTTATGTAAAAATATAAAAGCTTTTGGGATTAAGATATGGTGGAATATTCAAAGAATTTTTAGAAGAAGGATAAAATTTACCCCACAATTGTTTTTGTTAGGTATTGTTTCTGATTGTGATAGTAAAGAGACTATATTGATGTTAAATTTAATTACAGCGGCCAGGTTGTTAGTAGGGCAATGTTGGAAGAAGGAATCTTTGCCTACTTTGCAAGAGTGGTTTTTAAAAGTTTCTTATTTGGCGGAAATGGCAAAGATTTTGGCTTTCTTGAAAGATCAATCGCAAGAGAAATACCTCCTGGTATGGAAAAAATGGATAGATTTCATACAATATAAGTTGGATATAAAAATATTATTTAGTTTTTGAATAATTTATATTTAAAATTTAAGATATTTCATAGATATTTTTTTTAACTTTTTTTTATTTTTCTATTTGATTTTTTCTTTTTCTGTTTCTTTTTTTCTTTCTTCTTGTATCTTTTTTATATATTGCTGTTAATTATTTTATGTTGTTTAATTAATGTACTTAGATTTGCTTATGGTTTACATGTGTTTTAAGATTTTCTTAATTTTTTTTTTTAATTAAGCCTGTATTCAGCTCTGGGAAGGTCGGGGGAGGGTAGGGGAGGGTTGGGAGGGTTTGGGGAAGGGAATTTCTTATTGTAAAACTTAAAAATTTTCAATAAAAAAAAATTAAAAAAAATTGTCTAAACATGACAATGTCTGGAAAAAAAAAATAAGCCCTCCTTTAATTGCCTTCAATAAGGGGCTAATAAACCTTGTTTTCGATCAGGGGCCACACATGCCATGTCGCAGCCAAGTGGGCAGGGCCCAGATATTCACCAACAGACGGGATGGCTCACTCCTGACAGAATTACCTGTACGTTTCACAGAGCCCCCCAGAGTCCCCATTTCACCTGCCTCTGGAGACTCCTGTCAACCTTCAGGGGATGCAAGAGAAACAAGACTTCTGCTTCACCTCCAACCTGCATGATAGTCTGAACCATGTTGGGCCAATGAGAGACAATAAACTGAACATGGCAAGATGGAGGCCTTGTTGGTGAGGGCTTCCTGAATGGAGACTTTCCCCCCACCTCAGAGGAGACGCTTCCCTCTGAAGGAAGAAAGATGAAATCTGGGAGGGCTCATCAAGAGTTACCCCTGTCCCTGGGTGCCAGGAGCACCTTTAGACGGAACATCTGCCCTGACCATCTCAGCTGCTCTCGCTCCTGGTCCAGAAATGGCACCGCTTGCACAAACATCTCAGTGGTCCATGCCATAGGTCTGCCCCAGCTTCTGGTCCTGAGTCACTCAAGACCCTGCAGCCTGCCTCCCTCCCAGGCCTCCTTCCCCATAAATGTCCTTCTAAGGCAGTGGTTCTCAACCTTTCTAATGCCGCGACCCCATAATACAGTTCCCCATGTTGTGGTGACCCCCAACCACTTATACATCACTGGCTGCCAGGGGCGTGGCCAAAGAGAAGGGAAAAAAATGGCGGACAGCCTTGTTTGGCGACCTCTGTGAAATGGTCGTTCGACCCCAAATGGGGTCCCGACCCACAGGTTGAGAACCACTGCTCTAAGGGCTCTGCTGTACAGATCCAGAACCACCACTGTGCAACACACCTCCCAGCAGGGAGCAGCTCCGCCTTTTTGGCTGGCAGATGGTACCAACTGAAGTGAGCGCCAGGCGGCGTTTCATCCCAGCCAGGAACATCCACACCAAGGCAGGAAAACGCAATACTTAGATGCCTAAGAAGCTAAGGAAAGGGCTTTTGGGCCCACCAGAAACCCCCCAAAGCCCTGATCTCCCCTTTTTGAATGGCAGCAATAAACAGCATTTTGGGCAGGGCCTAAGAGGGGGAGCAGAGTGGTGGCCGGATCCTGTCTCTCTCGGCTCTTCTCTCTTCTTTTCTGGTCTGCTCCGATTCATCCTGATGATCCTTTGAGTTTCTGGAGGACTTCAGCATGCACAGTGCGTCCCCCCCCCGGGGAAATGATGAATCTGCTTTTCTTCTTCAGGAAGCTGATGGGGCCTCCTTTTCTGGCAGCCTGACAGACCGACATGGCCTCTCAGCTACTCGCCCTGAAGGGACAGGGGTCCCCCAAGACCAGCTCCACCAGCCCTTCCCCCTCTCCTGGCCACCAACTTCCCCGAGGTCTCTGCTCTCATTCTGCCTCCGGCTTTGGGGGGTCTCTGCATGTTCCCCCACCCCGGGTGAGCTTTCCATCTCCCGCACCCCATTTGGGCTGCTGAACCCCAGCTGGGGCATGGTCAATTGCAAGACCAATGGCCACATCTCAGCTGACCTGCCCTCAGTGTCCCATGAGAGTTACCCACCATGGAGACTCTTGCCCACCCTGAAACCTTTTGCCCAGAAGAGTGAGTGGGACGGCAGCCAGAAACCTCAGAGGAGGTTGGGGTGGCAGCAGCTTCATTCCTACCCTTGCATTGAATTACACACACACACACACACACACACACACACACACACACACACATATTCCTGTACTTTTCCACTGCTCCTGCCAAGCAGTGATGTTACTCTGGTTTTTATTCCTTTGGGGCGTGTGACTTAATGGCAGTCCTGACCTGCGCCTGTTAGTAGAGGAGAAGCAGATCCCTTATTTCCTTTCTTTCCTGACCTGCCTCCTTCCCTCGCTCCTTACAGGCCAAAGTCCAGCAAAAGGAGTCCAGGTTTTGCAATGTCCTTGATCCTCCAGCAGAGGATAAGAAAAGAGAAATGGCACTTTCACACACTTTTTCCTGCCCTGCTCTCCCCCCCCCCACTCAGAAGGAGCCCCAAGGAAAGCACCTCCTCCCCCCCAGGCCCTGCCCCAGCCCCTACCGTGCAGCCAGCAGCCTTGGCCAGCTGATGGGTGGAGAACGGGAAGGCTTCGTTGCTCAGGTCCACATCAAGCACTTCTTGCAGGACGGTCCGGCTGCACAGAGGAGAACATCCCGATGAAAGAGCCCCACCCTCGCTGCCAGCCCCAAGCCTCCAAGGAGGCTCCCTCAGAGACAAAGAGCATCGCAGCTGTCCCATGCCAGAGGCCCCCCTTGGCCAGCGCACCAAGAGCCCCTGTTGCCAAGGCAGCTACGGCACCAGCACCAGCACCAGCACCCGCAGCCACCTTAGTCCCGCAAAGCGTTGGGTCAGCTCAGCTCAACTCAGCCAGCCACAGACAATTCACACGCCATGGAAGCCCAGCCGCAGCCCTCAGACCTGGGCCTTCAGGTTTAAGCATAAGGAGCTTGGTCCTCTCACCCCGCTTCAGTAGAAGGTAGAAGGTTAAATCGCTAACAAATTTTATAACAGATTGGGCACAGTTATCAGAAACAACTGCAGACAAAAGCACAAGCGTCTGAAAACAGAATATTCTGGATCCTGATTTTGTATCAAGAAACCTTAATTTCAAGCTGGACAAGTCATCTACCCCAACTTCATAAGGTCTTTCAATATTTGCCTTTGACATTGTGTCCTTACAGCCTCCATACATGCATTACTACAAACTTTGATCCATCTATTAATCTCCCAACGACTAACATCCTTTCTTATTTATTTATTTTTAAGTGAAAATGACTTGGTTGGCCTTAGGAGAAAAGTCTTAGGCTGAACGTTCAAGCTTTGGGCAGATTCCTAAAAATCTCAGCTCTCCTTCTCCACCCCCACCCCAACAAAATATACCCACAGTTTGGGGTGGACAGCTGATTTGACAATCACACATTACATTTCAAAGCCTCCCACACTTCTAATAAATGTGTAGCAAACAGCACAAGATGAACATGGATAGACTGTGAGCTATGATTTTCTTTGGGATATGTTGACATTCTACATAAGTTTAAGATGGCTGTGAAAGCAAAATATTTGATATTATGAACTGGCCAGGAAGAGCAGCTGGCGATTTGCTGTAGGCCTGACCTGTGCTTGTGTTCCCTGGGCTCAGATAGCCCAGCATCCCACGTGCAAAGACACAAGCCTGGCAACTTGGTGAGTACATCCGGCTCTTCCCTTCTGCCCAAGGAGCATTGCGCACGAATGATCTGGGAGGCAGCTGTACAAATCCCCTCCAGGTTGACAAGCCAATGAGGCCCTTTGAGGGCAGCTTTCAAAGCCACAAAGCAAAGAGTCCACCAGCCCAGGAAGAGCCAATTTAGACTCAGAAGGAACTGAGGCCTGGACCGGCTTCCCTGCTCACCACGCCTGGGCCTATCTGGGGGAGACTGGAGGTCAGCTGGCAGAAGAAGAAAGCTGCTATCTTGGGTGGCTTCTTTAGTAAATAATTTGGTCCTTCAACTGCTCATACTGGCATGGCCAACCCAGGCACTCTGCCAAGTGGGCAGGGAGGAAGAGGTAAGACTTGGCACCCTGGGCCTTGATACTATTGAACCCTAAGCTCTGGGGGGAGGGAAGGTCACCACTTCTGCATTGGATCAAACTCTGAGACTGACCTGGCAGGGCCTTGAATGCTGATCATGCCCAGCTCTTCCGACTGGTCGATCAACTGGCACTGAAAGTGCTTCTCCTGCAGCACCGCCCTGATGTGTGACCAGTTGTACTGGGCAGCAGCGCCGCCAATAGCCAGGTAATAGCCATCCCCTAAAAAGGACAAGACTCAAGTTGGCAAGTGCAGCAGCTCCCCTGAAGCTGTGGGTTGTGGTGCCAGCTAGCCAAAGGGAAGCTGGCACCACAGGCATGGCTGATGGATGGATTGATTGGCTGAATTCATCCCCACCGCAATTCAGGAGACTCAGTTTACAAGTGAACTGATGCTCTGTTGATAGCTGTCAACTTCCGCATCATGCGGAAGCCGCCCCCACCCCCATTTCTGGCAATGGCAAAACCGTCCCAAAACGTTGTGTGACGTCACATGACATCACAAGTTTGACATGTCTGGTATAGGTTCTCCTGCTTGAGCAGGGGGCTGGACTACAAGACCTCCAAAGTCCCTTCCAGTTCTATTCTATTCTATTTCAGATAAATGGCTGTCCAGTGTTGGAATATTCACAACTTCTGGAGGCAGGTTGTTCCACTGATTAATTGTTCTAACTGTCAGGAAATTTCTCCTTAGTTCCAGGTTGCTTCTTTCTTTGGTTAGTTTCCATCCGTTGCTTTTTGTCCTGCCTTCTGGTGCTTTGGAGAATAGCTTGACTCCCTCTTTTTGTGGCAACCCCTGCTATCACCCCTCCTCCTTCTCTTCATTAAACTAGACATACGAGGTAGCTAAAGTGAGTTTCCTATTCCTTCCCACAGTTCTTGCCAAATATGTAGGTCAATACTGAAACCAAAATCCCTACTCCAAATTAACATGGTCTCCTTAACCTGTTCTTCATACATTGTCTGATCTAAAAGAAAATGATATATATTTTTAACTGGCTGACCAACCACACTCAATTTTCATTTACTTTTACATAGAGGGTACCTCAGGGTTCTGTCTTAGGCCCAGTATGCTTCAATATCTTCATAAATGATATAGATGAGGAGACAGAAGGAGAACTCATTAAATTTGCAGACAACACTAAGCTGGGGGGAATAGTCAATACTTTTGAGGATAGACTCAAGATATAGAAGGATCTTGACAGATTTGAACACTGGGCCATATCTAACAAAGTGAAATTCAGTGATGAGAAAAGTAAGGTTTTACACTTAGGAAAGAAAAATCCAAATGCACAGATATGGAATAGGTGGAAGCTGGCTTAATAACAGTAACTGCAAGAGGGATCTAAGACTCCTAGTGGATCACCATTTAAATATGAGCCAGCAGTGTGCTGCAGCTGTCAAAAAGGCCACTGCAGAGGGATAGAATCAAGATTATGTGAAATATTGGTACTGCTTTATAAAGCCATTATAAGAGCACACTTGGAATACTTTGTCCAGTTTGGGTCACAATATACAAAAGAGACTCTGGAAAGAGTGCGGAGAATAATAACAAAGCTGATTAGGAGGCTGGAGACTAAAACATATGAAGAACAGTTGCAGGAATTGGGTATGTCTAGCCTAGAGAAAAGAAGAACTGGGGGGGGGGGCATGATAGCAGTCTTCCAGTATTTGAGGTGATAGCACAAAGAAGAATGGGTCAATTTATTTTCCAAAGCATCAGAAGGCAAGACAAGAAGCAATAGATGGAAACTAACCAACTAAGGAGAAACTTCCTAACAATGAGAACAATACACCAGTGGAATGACTTGCCTTCAGAAGTTCTGGTTACTCCATCACTGGAGGCTTTCAAAAAGATACTGGACAACATTTTTCCGAAATGATACGGGGTCTCCTACTTGAGTAGGGGGTTGGACCAGAAGACCTCCAAGGTCCCTTTCAATAATGATGATTCACCTTCTTCCAGCTTATCCTGCACCGCTGGGCTTCCCTGTGGCATCTCGGGGAAGAGAAGTCCCAACCTCAGCCCCTACTGTGTGGAGTGCCACAAGCTTCGGGGTTTTCTTCCCTTCTTTTTAGCATCTTCATAAGGTTTCTGGCGAAGCTCATTCACCATTGTGGGGTGAAGCACCATCAATATGCTAATCACGCTCAATGAAACATCTCTGTTCCACTGAATTAAGTGATGCTGTGGATATCCTGGGGTCTGGAGGCTGTGAGGGCCTGGTTTAGGGGTAGGCAACCTCGGCTCTTTTATGACTCGGGGACTTCAACTCCCAGAATTCTGGGAGTTGAAGTCCACGAATCATAAAAGAGCCGAGGTTGCCTACCCCTGGTCTGGCTGGAGAGAATCAGGCTTCAGCTGAGTGGCTTTGACCTGTTGGGACCCACCCATTCCAGAACTTTGCCATCTTTGGTGCTGGATGGGGTTGCAATGTGGGGGTGCTTTTAGACTCATGACTCATGCTGGAGGAGCAGGGGACAGTCATGGCTAGGTAGGCCTCTTCAGTTTTCATCTGGCATGCCAAAAATGCCTTTTCAAGAGGCAACTGGACTTTGTTTTTCTTTGAAGACATCTCACTTCTCATCCAAGAAGCTTCTTCAGCTTTGACTGGATGGTGGGGAATAAAAGGATTTATATTCCTTGCAGCCAGTTGGTCTTTTGCATTCTTTTAGAGAATTGCTGAGGCTACCTGGAGGTTTATCGGTGTCCTCAGGGTCACATGCAAACCCATCAGGACAAGATTCAGCAGTCCATCTGCATTTAAAAGACCAGGCCACTTTTTTGAAGACAGCAAAGTCCTCATTTTGGACAGAGGAGACCGCTCGTTTGAAAACTATGTCAAAACTTCAGCTGGTTCAGAGTACAGTGGTGCAAGCAGTTATATGCGCTCCTAGAGCAGCGCACGTTACACCTTGCCCCACAAGCTGCATTGGTTGCTGGCTTGCTTCCAGTGCAATTCAAGATGCTGGTTTGACCTTTAAAGCTTTTCACCGCATGAGACTGGGATGCCTCTGCCTGGTCGCACTAGCCCACCTGCTGGATTGGGCAGAGTAGGCCTGCTGCAGATGCCCTCAACCAGGACCCTTCTCTGCCACGGTGCTCGCCACATGGAACATTCTTTCCTCCAAAATCAGACTAGGTATCCATCAAGTTCTGGCATGTTGTCAGGCCAGTTGACCTTGTTGAGGGGCCATTTTTATCCTCCCTCTCCTATGGTTTGCCTTTTTGCTTTTGTGACATTTATTCAGAAAGTTTTTACACTGTTTCTATCCATTGATGTTACTAATTCTTGTCACCAGACAAGACTAATCACTATATTAGTAACAACATTCTTGTTACTAATATAGTCACCAGAGTTGTCTCTGGTGACTATATTAATTTAATTGAAAAAAAAAATAGTCACCAGGCCCTTATTTTCCAATCACACATATTGCCCACAAAAGTGGGCAATATATACAGAAACAGAAGTGGAGGCCACATGTTATGGGGAATGAAGCCCCCTCTTTCAGCATGGACACAAGTGTGCTGGGTGCCCTGAAGGCCGCTTGGGGCCTGCCCTCTCTCCTCTTCCTCAGCCTGGCCAGCCAGGCAGTCACCCTCCCAGCACCAGTTGATGGCCCAAATGCTGCTCCTCGCCTGCCCACCCCAGAAATGCTGGGCGGAGGGAACTCAGCAAGCCTCTTTTCTCTTGTGCTTCACCTGCTAATTGGCCCTAATAAAACTCAGTTGGCTCCAGGAGCCAAAATCATAGATGCTGCTCTAATTGCCTGTCAAGTGGAAGCCTCTCTGGGCTGGCAGCTCCTGCGCCCAAAATAATGGCTTGGCAGGATCTGGCTCTGAAGCGCTAATCAGCTCTCTTTTTTTAGGCCCATCAATCTTAGGCAGAGGTTGTCAGAGTCCCTGGTTCAAACCTTGCAGAGCTTGCTAGGAGCAGAGCAGTCAGAAGCTGACAAAACAAGAAAGCATCTAGAAGTCTCTGTCAAGGGACAGGGCAGGCTGGGGAAAAGAACAAGAGGACATGCCTTCTTCTTCCGACCTGCAATGTCCCTTGTCCACCTGCCCCAGGACAGTCACCTCCGATTCTCTCCTCCAAGGCCCAGGAGGAACGTCCCTTCAGATTGGGGACTGTCAGCCCTGCAAGGTCAGGGTCTCCAGGAGTCTGAGAAAGCGCCTTACGATGCGGCAGAAACTGTAACCGAATCTTGAGAGCCCCTCTCTAGAACCTTTCGACTCGCATCGAGCAGCACCAGGCTCCCTCTTTTCCCGGGACTCCGGTGCTTTTCCAGCCGGGGCTCCCTGTTCCCTTACACATCTCCCCCCTCTATGATAAGCCCAGCGCATCAGAAAGCATTTTTAGCAGCTTCAAAGGTCCACAACGAGTTGATCTCTCAAAATAGCAGAAGGCCCTTTTGCCCAGCTGAAGAGGGGCAGTAATTTTGTGGCTTCTCTTCGCTGTTTTTTCCTTTCCTGCTACTACGTTTCTCTTATTCCAAGTGTGCGTATGGATGGGAGCATCTAGTCGGGGGGGGGGGGGCTGACTGTGGGAAGGTGAATGAAATCGCTACCAGACCAGCGAGGATTCGGAGCCCAAAGATGCCAAGCCCACAGGGCAGAAAGCGCAAAGGGAGCCTTCCTCCTTGATCTGCGCCAGAGGGGAGCCGGTCCAGTCCCTTTCACACCTCCAAAGCTGCCTGCTTGGGGAGACAGCCTGAGGACGATGCCCATCCCAGAAACTTCATCAGGGGAGGAAATCCAGCTTCTGATCACAACCAGGGCATCTCCCTGTCCATTCTATAAATTCTGTTGGCCCAGGAAGTAAACTAGTTCAAGAGAAATGGGGAGGGTCCGTCACCTT